CGGCAAACCTCAGATCCTTTGAAATGGTTCTTTTGCTTACATGCCATGCATGTGCGGCCCCAAGCAGGGCACTTCTCCTTCTTCATTTCATGCATTTTGCAGCAAAATTTGCAACGTTTTGGGTCAGTTGCATCCTTCAGTTTACCACTGCTCTTGCCAGGCCTTTTAGAATAATGAGATGCACCATTGCTGACCTTCTTGTAGACCTTGTAGACTACCTCCTCATTCTTGAGAGCTTTCATCTGCAATGACGCTGCTTCTACAGCTTTGCATACGTCAATGGCCTTGGACAGAGTGAGGTCTGGGATTCCCATCATTTTCTCCCGCATGCTGTCATCTGACACACCCAATAACAGTCTGTCCATCAGTAGCTTGTCCTTCATACAGTCACAAAAACCACATGACTTGCTCATGGTCCTCAGCACAGTGACGTATTGTTCAATGTTCTCTCCTGCTTCCTGATTTCTGCGATTGAATTTGAAGCGCTCAAAAAATTCCTTTCTTTCACCTAGAAAGTGGGAGTCAAGCTTTTCGAGAATAAGATGACACTTCTTGCTGTCTGCATCACTGGCAAACTTCATTCCATTGTAGATGCGTACGCCATCCGGCCCAATACTATGAAGGAGAAGAGCCGTTTGATATTCCTCGGGTTGGGAAGATAGATTTGTGAGCACACAGTAGTTGTCCCACATCTGTTTCCACATCTTCCATCCCTCAATCGCATCTCCATCAGATACCCTCAGGTGAGCAGGAGGGTTTATGTTCGGCCTTTTGAACACATTACTGGCCACATCACTACTTTCACTTCGCTCATCAGGCATCTTGACTATTATATAAGCACAAGCACAGTAGAGAAAATCACAAGCTTACCGTAGTCGTAGAACAGTGACAACAGCTGTGCAGTCACTCACACAGAGTTAAGCATGTGGGGCCACAGTAGAAAACTTCAGTTAGAGGTGCACATTTGACCTTCCAAGTACAGCTTAGAAAGCTAACAAATTGTGTGAAGTCCTTGGTAAATCATGGCAAGACTTCCAATGAGTGGGTTACAAACACCAGCTGCCACCATGTTAAGTGTTTGTCCCTAATTATAAGACTGGAATAACTCATATGTGTACAAAGATGGCTAACATGAAGTGTGTGTCTTTATTCAGTGCTGTCGCCCTCTATCTGAATAGGCAGTACAGTGTTATAACTTGTAAGTCTCACAAACAAGATATTGTCACAATGCTGTTAGCACGTTTCGGATGTTACATTAAACTGTTAACAGACATTTTCATACTTTAACTAGTTCAAATGAGGGGCAAAGATAGATGTGAGAATAGCAAATTTCAATTTTTCAACCTCTCCTCTTACTATTTACATTGCTGTGTGTTTGCAAATCATCACGTTTTCATTTTTACAGAGGTTGTTCCAAATTATGTCATATAACCAAAGATTGTATGGTCAATCTAAACTATTTGGTAGGTTACCAAAGCTCAAAATCACCCACTTAAGCTATACCAGGTGTACATGTACATGACACAGGTATGATACAGGTATATAAAGTTGATAAAATCAAGCAAAAAAAATGTTTTTCTAAAAATTTATGGGAAATATGGATTTTCATTTGAAAATACCTTTTAAAAAGGGCACTCAGTACACGTAACTAATCTGTGTAGAAAGTACATACATGTATAAAAGAAAAGGGCATTACCAGTAATACCTTATTTAATGATCCTACATGTATGTATGCATACATACAAAATGTATAAGCTAGTGTAGAGATTTATTTTGAACTTCTGAAACTCGATCCCCTTCATATCCATGATTCATCCCTTTCATATTAATAGGTCATCCCTCATTCACATTCACCCTTTTCATCCACCATCCTTTCATCTGTCTATCTCTCTCATTTGTTTCAATGTTCACCTGATGCAGTCAAGCTTAAATAGTATAATTTACATATACTATGAATATTCAATATATACCCTTTGTTTATGTTTGAATATTCAAGAATACTTTGTGATGTTGATTTATACTTGTATGGGACTATATGAATAGTTATTGATTTATTCTACTTTGCATGGAATGTATGTGGAATGCTACATAGAATGCTGTAATGCTTTTACACATTAAAACATGGTCAGTTAGCTAGTAGTTATCAATCCTACAACATGTCTGCTGGGCTGCCTCTGTGTTAAGAGTGCTAGGAATTCAGAGATGCCAACTTTTGGAAATCAGAAATAGGGAGGATTTGTAATCGACACCAATTAATGTGCGCGTAGCGCACATCTCGAGCGCGTAGCGCCCGACACATGCGGCCGGGGTCCAGGGCCCGCCTTAGGGCCCTGGAAGCTCTGGGGTTCTAGATGCTCTCTGGTGCAATCTGAGCCTTATTTTGGAGCATTTTACATGTGTATTTAGTTAAATAATTCCCCCTTTTTTTTTAAATAACATAAAAATTGTACAAAATGCATGATGAATTACTTTCAGACTTCCGATTACACAGGTACTTGATACTGTATTCGGTCTTATACTTCCGAGACCATTTCCTGGTCTTATTTTGCTGATTTTCCGCCATTTGGATTCTGTGGCAATATCCACGCATTGGTTACGGCGATCCATATGCTGAAACAATCTTTCGCTACTCTTAATTTGTCTTTTAACATAGTGGAATTATTACATGCTTAAGTTAGCAGATGATATTTCTCTTTCAATTCACAGATATATATACTGATAAGCGCCCTCCAAAAAAAATCATAATAAAAAAAAAAAAAAAAAAAAAAAAAAAAAAAAAAAAAAATCATTTTTTTTTTTTTTTTTTTTAATAAATCGGGAGGATAAGGATGGTGATCGTAAGGTCGGGAGTTGGGGTGAATTATCGGGAGCCTCCCGATAAAATCGGGAGGGTTGGCATCTCTGGGAATTATCTGTTAGAACCGCAACCCTACACTTGTGTGAAATATAAATGGGCTGTCTGTTTTTTGTTTTTTTTTCCTCTACGAAATGTCAAAGTTGGGGGTGCGGCGCTGCGGCCTTATCGCCGGCAAATACGGTACATGTTTAACCTACACTGTATATTGTTTGTCACCTGTAATATAGGCACAGCAAGAGTTAAGATCTATCAACCAACCAACCGACCAACCAATCAATCCATCCATTCATCAATCGGTCATCAATTAAATAAATAAATAAATACTTATTTAAGAGCATCAAAACATATTGTCATTTGAAACGGCCTCCTAATACAAATAGTGGTAAAGGATGATTGTTACTACAGTAGTATTATAACCTAAAACATACACAATTTTAAAATACATCAAAAATGTCTCATTCTCGAGATATAAATACATTAGGATTCACTTATTTCTTATTACTGTACTTACATGACTGGGGGTACTTTTTTATAGTTTTATTTTTTTAAAGATTTGTCAATTTTTCAGTGCTTACATACATGTATGTGTTAGTGATATTATTGAATGACACACTATATAGTTGAAGGCAAAGAACATTATCGAGCTGATTAAACATCCATATTGTAGAGTTTGTAGAAATTGATGATCTCATTGAAATGTTAACATCGTGTAACATCCGAAACAAACCATAGTATACATTTCACACTGTTGTTCATAACATGCAATAAAGAGTATGTTTCTAAGTGAATTTTCTAAGGAGTTTTGATGACTACAATTGCTATTAGCTTCATATTTCACTCTGTTAGATCACATAAGCATTTTAAACTACCGGTACACGTTCTTGAAATGAATAATATACCTTACATAAATTGAGTGGTCGATGAAGACAAAATTGGTATACATGTATGTGCTAAACTAATTAAAACTGCACAATTTTTTTCCATAAATGTTACAGAAGTATTTTTCTGCAAACAATTAATGTAACTGAGGTCAATAATACCTAAAGAAAAGCAATTAACTTGAATAAAGTTATAATGTTAACAGTGTGTAACGTCCGAAACATCAGTGGTGTGCCATCTGAAAATTATTAGGCAATGCACTGGTTCCCAATTTTTTTGCATGTATTTACCTTATATCATCAGTTGTTATAATAAAATAAGTTTGACCTAAGAAAAAAGCATTTTACCTATTGAAATAAAAACTTGTTATTGTCAAAACCCTAATTTGGAGCTATTTTTCACTTTCAAGGGATACAAAATCTGTATTTTTCAAGATAGAAACTCAACAATTTGCATGAATAATCTCTGAAACATATTCTTAAAGACCCAACATATTTAAAGGTGTAGTTAATAGCAAATGAGTTTTATATCACAGTTATTAGATAAGCTATAGTTTACAATAAAATTGTAAAAACTCAAAGTATTCATATCTGGTGAATAAATAAGGAGATAGATTAAGGTCCAGAATTAGCATTTCTCAAAAATATGATTAGTCCTGATCCTAAAAATACAAGTTTGAAGTGAGTAAACATAATTTAATTTTGGACCCATTTGTGGACACATTTGGTATAAGTTAAAAAAACCAGTGCCGTATATGTGTTTAAAAGTTTAAGCTTTATCTTTCTTTTAAATGTGAATTGACTGGTAATTAGTTAAAGAGATGGATCTATGTTATTCCATAATACTGGCACTATGAATATGACTGACAAAGAAAGCGGACAAAATATACAGTTCCTCAGGTAGACAAAGGAACATCTCTTCACTGCTATTATGTAAAAATGTGTAGAACAGGTGTCGCATGCACATTCACCATTTTACATAATAGCAGTGAAGGGATGTTCCTTTGTCTACCTGAGGAACTGTATATTTTGACCGCTTTCTTTGTCCGTCATATTCATAGTGTGGACCGGTGTAAATAACTGTTTTTGTGTGGAAGTGGTTCAACTGTCTTGTGGGGTACGAATGTATCTTATTATTTTTTTTAATTGCATGTGTACTACTATTATCATTATTAACATTATAGTTTTATTATTATCATTATCAATGTTGCAGAAGCTATTTTGATGGGCTTTACAGAGTCACATGCTAATATAGGTAAACTTACCCTATTGCCAGAGCCTTGGTATACATGTCATGTGCATTGCGGTATCGTTTTCCTTTGACGAAATTGTTGCCTTTGTCCTTTGAACTGTTCATGTCCTTTTAGAGACGACAGAACATGTAAAAATAGAAATCACAATACAATAATTCCATGTCATTACACAGAGAGTGAAACCTGTTTTAGTACAAAGGCCACCTGTTTAAAGTGGCCAAGTCTTAAATTTTGTCTCCCATGAGGAAGGAGGGGATCATGCAAGATACGTCACACAGAGTGACCCATTTGTTTTTGAATGATTGTACTTTAAATATCCATAACTTTGTTATTGCTAATCAATGATTGCTGTTTCTCTCATTTTCTGCTGCTATCAAAACTGTCCTTATATCAGGGTGGACTTTTCCTTAATAGGTAGGTGCAGGCGCGTACGCAGGATTTTTTCAAGGTTTTTTTTTTAACATTCTTAAATCGAGCCAGCCGCTGAATAAGCGGGGGGGGGGGGGGGGGGGGGGGGGGGGGGGGTAAGAGGACACTTTTTTTTTTATGGCCTTGAAATTTGAAAATTTGACATTTTGCTTCGTTGGGGGTAAGGTCGCCTTTTTTTTAGGTCAGCCATGGGAATAATTTTTTTATTTTTTTTTATTTATTTTTTTATTATTAAAAAAAAAAAAAAAAAAAAAAATCTAAGGGGGGGGGGGGTTTTTTTTTTTTTTAGGGGGGTTTATACACTTAAAAATACCAAAGGGGGGGGGTTTAACCCCCCAAACACCCCCCTGCGTACGCGCCTGGGTAAGTGATCATCATATGCAGTTTGCTCTAATAGGTACATGTTTTTCAATGTAAATTACTATTCAAGGGAAACAAAAATATGTGGTCCTTATAGACAGACGATACATCTATACAGGGGGTTGCTAAAGCATGTTGAATATATGAATATCAACTGCAGATAAGGACCACCTGCTCATAAAGACCTCATTTCTTGTGAGCTCAAGTTCTTGTATAATGAAATGTATTTCCAGAAATACTGTCTCAGCTGTTGATCATGCACTGAACCAAAATCTTCATATATTTAACTAGTTTGAGATTTTCTTTTCTACTTACGTTGCAATTCACATTCGATATTAAAATAGAAAGATAAATAAACATATGAATAAATAGTAAATGAATAAATGAATAAATGAATAAATGAATAAATGAATAAATGAATAAATGAATAAATAAATAAATATAAGTTTCACATCACTGATTCTTACTTTAGTGTTAATTTGAATCTGCAAGACTTTTTTTACAATCCTATACAATACATATATTTTACAAAATGAACTTACCTTTTCATCCTTTTCACTCAAGTTCATGAGAGTAGCTAATACTTCCTTCTTATGAACCACTGTGTCGTTAACATACTGCCAATCTGAAATTATGAGAAACACGATGAAGTCATTAATATTCCATGCAGACTAAGAAAAATAAATCTCCTATCACATTTTCTGGAGTGTGGTTTCTTTTCAATCGTTGGCAGAAATTTCACCAGTATTTAATATCTACTGTGTAAATTCTGACTCTCAAAACACTAGTGAATCATTCCAGTTTTTGTCACGTGACAATGATCTCCTGGCTGCTGTGTTAATGCATGCAGTGCAGCGACAAGTCATGCATGCACACTAGTTACCAACAAAAATTAAATAATAATTATCAAATGGTTTCTTATGGAATTTTCCATAAGTGTACGCTATAAAAAAAAATGTCCCCCCATTCCGAGAACGGAGGGACCGCATGCATGTTCCCAAATCTCTGGCTGGTAACAAAGAAAAAGATCTGCCCGTATTGACTTTACACACCGGACTTACGGGTGCTGGGAACACGCATATGCGTACCCTAAATAACACTGAATGGGGGGCCGGGAAAAAAACCTGATCGTTTTTCTGAATGGTTTTTAGGCTGTGTAAATGATTACCATAGAGGGCAGTACTCACATTGCTTGATAGTGACCAGAGCCGTTAGACGACTTACTCGACCATCCTTCAGTTTTGTTACTTCCTTCAACTTTTTACTGCAAAAAGAGACAGAATTTAAAAAAAAAATATTTTTTCATATTGCTACATATTCAATGCCAATTGGGATCGAGTAGAGGACCCTGTTTCATAAAACATTGTTTTAAAAAAAAAGGACAATAACTGAGGTTAGCTACTGAAATCAAGAAATTTGAGAGCAGATTTGATATAGAATTTTACCATTTGTTATTGATAATAAGTGTGGTATAGTGAGTAAACTTGATTTTGTCTTTAAGGTCACCTTAGACTAGACAGAGAGGGGCCTCTGCACTTTATCTCAGTACGCATATTCAAAATCCACAGACTTAATAGTTCAAATTGAGAGAGATGTAATTATACTGAATCTGGATTGTTAATGGAAATGTAGGTCATTGATTGTATGTTTTATTAAACATATCTTTGGTTAGAAATAGGACTAAATAATTCATTTAGGTGGAAGAATATTAAGAGAGTGATTAGGCAGTTTGGGAAGAAACTTTCTTGTGTCTACATGTAGGTCATTGTTCAACCAACTTAGTGAGGAGAGTGACTGACAATCAGAGTTTCGCAGTAGAGTTTCCAGAAAATTTCATGTTTCTGTCGAGGTATGTTAATTGATTTTTTTTATAGTGTAGAATAAGGAATTTAGTCATGTTATTATTGATATTGAGTAGATAGAATGAAGGAAAAGGAAGTAACAAAAGTGAAGGGATCGCATCACTGTGTAGGGGTCAGGAGCACATACAGTGTGTAGCTTAGTACATAATACACAATGTACATAGTTTGTGTGCATTTATTCGGTAGAGCTGCTGTGCATGACCAGTGGCTTTGTAAACTATATATGTAAGGCAGAGTATCTTATGTTTATTTTAATGTCGATGAGATTATATACACATTTATATCTACTTAAGTGTTATTATTTGGTTATGGTATTGAATACTGTAGCTGGAGTATACAGTGCATCCCAGAAAACAAAACCAAGACTTATCGATGTTTTATCATAACTTAATCACAATTATAATTAATAAATGACACATATTTGTAAAGCTTAGATCCTCTTCTTCCATTTGATGCAACTCATATGATGCATATTTCATGCATGAGTGATTAAAAAGAATTTGAAGAGAGGGTTCCAAAAAGTCATTTGGCGGGCCGTATCTGAATTTCAATGAGAAAATCACATTTCTAGAAAAATAATTTTCTGCCCTTTCATATGCCACCTCAATCAGGAAATATGAGCCAGGAATAACACAGTTCTGTTTGTTTAAAGTAATGCATGCTATTCCATAATTTGATTAAATGAATTCGTTTTCACTGGCTGCCTGCCGTAGCAACAAACAGAGTTGACAAAAGACTTAACTCCTTTCCATTTACGATCAGCCATGCATCAAGTCTTTAATTAGCCTTCTTTGAGCTGGGGGTTAAAAAGTTGTTGAGGTGACTGATTGACCAGGATTCAGATTGAGAAATAGTTCTGGTGCTCTTTGGAGGAACATGTATGACAAATTAAAGCATTTGTTGTTAACATTTCTATATCTCTTAATCTAAATTCCTCAATACTTAATGTTGGAAGTTGAAGTAATATTGTCATTTTAAATATCATTCAATTCATTTTTTTGAGTCTTTGATATATTTGGTTCAGTTATTCTATAACGAAGAGTGAACATTTTAGTAGAGTATGAATGCAACATTATTCATCTGTGTATTGATATACTTGATGCATTTTAATGTTTTGAAAACAATTTGATGGTATAGTTAACTTGTTATTCATGACAAGTAGTGATATTGTCTTTGTTCTAGATTCCAGTGTTTGAGTTGAGGAAGCTAGTACCATTGTTTGTCTTCATAGCGACAAGTAGTAGTTACAGTCCTAGTTGGGCGAATCAGGATGGTGGAGCGTGATTGGAACACAAACATCATTTGTTATATATTTCTTCTGTTTCAGGTGTTGATAACAAGGTGCTATAATGAATCACAGGTACATTAATTAGACTGAAAATCCATGACTAGGCATATTTCAGGGGATTATTCTGATATTCTTTGTGACCTGTATTCATATACTTTCAGTGAAGAGATCGATTCATCAAATTTCACCTCTTATAGCTAAAGGGAATATTTTGGAATGATAAGGACTACATTTTCTTCTTTTACATAGAATTACTCACTTGATGAATATTGAAGTATCATGGACTTGGTTTTAAGTGATATACATTTAATGTTGGCTTTAAATTGTTACATGAAGAGGTTTTGAACATGTAGTTACTGATGTTATTTCTTTTGTTGTTTCTTTTCTGCTTTTGAAGAGGTTTTTCTTCTTTGTAATGAACTTACTACAGATTAGCTCAAGTTGGAAAAAAAATTCTGCTCACAATCCTACAACTTTGAGTCATGTCATTGTGTTCTGGTAGTGTTTTCTTTTTGACAACCACCCCCCCCTTCTCTTGAATACCAGAATACTACATAAGTTTTATGAAACAGGGCCCAGAGCAATAGGTACCCACTTGATCAACAGCTAACATCACACTACCTTTCATATTTACAGCAGCTAGAGTGGATCAAAACTACTATGAGCATTTGTTTCCATGGTAACGAACAGGGCATGCCTAATGTATCCACATTCTCTCTTTCTATCTTTACTTCACTGCTCTACCCACCTCCTCTTCTACTCTCCCGCTTTATCGCCATCCTCGTTGTACAAAATTGATTTCATTTGACTTACCCTACTACAGCGGTTATGACTGTATTTTACCATTACTGTAATTGTCTATGATAACCTTTAATTCTTTTTGTAAATCGGTTTGTAAACTTTTACAACTGAAAAACAAAAAAATTCTGAACGGATAATAATTGCTTAGTTTCAATTTCAATTTCTGATTTGTGCCCGTCATGCAGTCCCAAGACAAACAGGGAACCCACAAAGAGATATCTTGTTCTGCATCAAGTAGTATGGTTGCCATTCAGTTACAGAGAATCAAATTTCAGACTCCGAACTCTAGCACCTCCCCCCCCCCCCCCCCCCCTCAAGGTGGGTATCAGTTGGTCTGCATCCAGTATGGATCAAAGTGATGCTAGTATCATTTATATTTATTACCATTTGGTCGGGTCTCAATTCTCTCCTACCCTTAATATGAAAGAGGTATGAGATGCTCCTTGGTTTATATGAAAAGAGACCCTATGCTGATACAAGCATTTAAATTTATTGCCTTGGCGGGTGTTCAATTCTCAACGCTTAAAGGTACTACAAAGTTTTGGGAATTTTGAAAATTGGGTGGATAGTGATTTTTTACAATTTCGATATATTTGGATGCCCATATGGATGTATTATATGCACCAAAAAATTTAGCCCCTAGAACACTTCTGCTTTCGAGAAAAATTGAATTTAAAAGTTTACTGATGCTCCCGGTAAATTTTGATGAATTTTAAATAGCGCCTATGGCCGTACAATGTTAATAGCTGCGACCATGAAAATATCAGAATATGTAGTTGAGATATATAATTTCCAAACGGGAATAGCTAATTGGTTGATTTTAGTCAAAAAACATTGTTTTATAGCTCAATTAATATCTTGACCTTGAGAGGGAGATATACAACATAAAATTATTTACAATTTCATAAATTTAGACTCGTTTTCGACCGTGACAAGGATCACTAAAATTGTAGGATCACATATGCTTCCAATATGTTCATTTGAACGAAATTCATGACCCCATACCAAAACTTTGTATTACCTTTAAAGATACTATGTCCCTTTTTGCAGCCAACATCAAATTCTGTAGAACTTTGCAGGAATTATGAATATGTAATGTATGTCCTATCTGTGAAATTTAAACGTTAGCAGTGCCCTAACATTCAAATTATGCAAGGAAACCTGTTTACTTGCTAGACTTCACAGTCAGACACTATTGAGTAACTGACTGGCTTTTTCTTCTTCTTTGAGCATTTGTCTACATCAATAACCCACTTCTTGTAATGGCCAAAATTAAACTGATTGAATCTTTGTGCAGCACAAAACGTATGACCATTCGGTACAATGGTCTGAAAATCAGACCATTACTTACTGACTGGTAGTACTTGAGTTGATTTGACAACTAATAGTCGTTAGTTTCCCATTTAAAGACATTTTCAAGCCCCCCTTTTTTAGGGAAGTTCTAAATTAGTATTATCTTTCAAATGCCGTTGGAATTTAACCTTTTCATTTTTTGGCCTGCAAATGGGACATAGTACCTTTAGGTCAGAAATAAGAGTATTTTACTCAGTTATTGGCTTAGATAAAATACTTAGCCAACTTTGGGATTCAGTTGATGCTACTGGCTAAGTATTTTACCCAGTTTACCTAGTTGTGGTAGTAATTGTATAATTCAGAGATAAAGTAAGAATACTTGGATACAAACTTACTAAAATGTGCCAAAATATGAATCGTCTTTTGCTACTCCCATGGCCACCTGAAGTTCATCAACCTGCACAACAACAAAAAGACGCAAATTCATATCACGAAGGTGCCTTATTTTCATATAATTAAACAAATTAGACTGTGAATGAACCACACTCTTACGATGCAAAAGTGATCTGATTTACAATTATTCGTATATTAGACATGAAATTTTGGACAGACATATAATCTTCTAAACTGAGGTTCTGACTAATGATATGAAAATCAACGATCTATATGCTTTAGAGCATTGAATGCCTTCTAGTCTGAGTACCGGTAAAGCCCAAATTAGTTTAAAATCATAAGAAAATCAGACGACTTTTCAACAAGCTAGGTGGCTTGCAATTTCTCAATAATTTAGCAGTAATTATTATTCACATGCATGATTTTGCAAGTTTGAATGTGCAAATCAAAAGCTATTACGGTACATGCGTAGGGGTGCCTCAACTAATCTACTCACAAATAATTTCATGTAAATTAAGAGTGTAAATACACTTTGAATAATTCCAAATAGAAGCAATGTTTGAAGCTCATATTTTTTAATACAGTATAGCAACATAGAATCCCAAACATACAGGGATAGTATTCTGAAAATAATGGTATATTTTATGTAAGTAAAATGATGTCAAGTATCATTAATATCTGCGCAAATCTGGCTTAATTCATGTAAAGTTTATAGAGACATCTGCACAAGCATCGATAGTAGGTGTTAGTTACGCGTTATTTCGGTTTGTTATGACAATGATCACTATTTTTCCTCACATAAAAGACATCATTTTCAGAATACGGCCCCAAAGAACAATATTATTAAGTGATTGCTAAAGTTTAAAGTATAACATGAATTTCTCATAGAATACAACTAGGGCCTTGTGTTCTGAAGGTTAATAAAAGTATACTCACTTTCTCCACCTCCTCTAAGAGACAAGTCACTTGAACATAATCATCTGTTCCCATCTGTATATGTCGAAAAACAGTTTTCAATATAGAATCAAATTTGGTCCCATTTGAGTTGCTGGCCCAAAGCAACAAAGTAACGAACATGGTAAACCTTAAATCAGGTCTCCCATAATTTTGTAAAAACAAAATCCCCTTATTTTCCCTGAATATTCCTTAATGGTATTTTGTTATTCCAGGATCATAGAAGAAAGCATTTACAAACAAGAAATATCGCAATCTGTATTGCTGCGCAATGCAAATGTATCCCCCGGCAGTGGCAGCGATATTTTGTGTCATCCTTATGTTCGAAGGAGGGACAAAGATCCCCTCTCCCCTCCCTGAAACAAAAGGATGACGTACGTAGAGATCGTCAAGACTATAGCTAGAGCAGCATCACCAAAACAATGTGTGTAGAATATGTGCATCTCTGTAGAAAATTTGAAAGAAATCTGTCAAGAAATGTGGTAGTAAGAGCGCACAAAAGACAGCCACAAAAATATGACCTTTGACCCTATAACAGACGGAACACAGGTGGCAGCATTACCCAACACTAAAGAGGTGTAGATTTTACTAAGAAACACCTCCATACAACATTTGAAGAAATCCATCAAGAAATGTGGCAGTTAGAGCGCACAAAAGACAAATGACCTTTGACCATATAGAAGACGGAACAATACGGGCAGCATCGTCTAAAAGTGCAGATGTGTAGATTGTATCAAGATACATCTCTATAATAAATTTGAAAGAAATCTGTCATGAAATATGACCTGTAGAGCACACACTAGACACCCACCAAAATATGACCTTTGACTCTATAATAGACGTAACACTGGTGGCAGCAACACCAAACACTAAAGATGTGTAGATCTGATCAAGATACACCTCCATACAAAATTTGAAAGAAATCCTTCAAGGAATGTGGCAGTAAGAGCGCACAGAAGCGACAAATGACCTTTGACCTTATAAAGGATGGAACAATGAGGGCAGCACCACCAAAAATTAAAGATGTGTAGATTGTTCAAAGATACATCTCTATACAAAATTTGAAAGAAATTCATCAAGAAATGGGGTCTGCAGAGTGCACTCATGCCATCCTGCAAAATATGACCTTTTGACCCTTTAAAACATGGGACACTGGTGGCAGCATCACCAAAAACTATAGGTCCAGAGATTTTACCAACATACACTTCCATACTCAAATTTGAAAGAAATCTGTCAAGAAATGATGCAGTGAATAGACCGCACGATAGAGTGCACACAAGACATCTCAAAATATGACCTTTGACCATATAAAAGACGGAACACTGGAGGCAGCATTACTCATAATTATAGGCTTGTAGAATATACCAAAATACACCTTGGTTCAAAATTGGAACAAAATCCCTTGAGAAATGTGGCCTATAGGGCGCACACAAACCATCCACAAATATATATACCGGCAGCCTTTTACCCTATAGAAGACGGAACACTGCATGGGGGGCAGCATCACCAAAAAATATAGGTGTTTAGATTGAACTAAGATATACCTCTGTGCAAATTCTGAAAAAAAAATCTGTCAAGGAATGTGACACAAGAATATGACGCGGTGGCGGCGGTGTAATGCTGCCGAATCCAAAATACCCCTCCGGCATACTGCCGGGGGACACAACTAAAAAGCCAACATTGCCAACCATCAAGTACATACTACAAAATTGCACAAGTTACAAATTTCATGGGCCAAGATAACCCCTAATACAAACAAATTCTTCTCAAAACTCCCTGCCTTTTGGCTGAATTAGTAGGAGACGAGCCTGTAGGTCCCGTGACCTCTGGGAACAAAGGTTTGAAAGTGTTTTTGGTCAATGCACTTCACCGAAACGGCAGCCATTTTGAATGTACATGGTCAAGTATGCACTTTTACTTTTGAAAGTTGCATAGTTGAATTTGCCATGTCAGAAAACATATTATTAGACCCTAAAATGATTAGAATCGGACAATGTTAACTGTGTTGGTGAATTTCTAAAGTGCATTGACCTTTTTGACCATAGCGCCCTCATTTAAGGTTGGAAGTATAATAACCTATACATTTTTGGAATCCTTATGACCAGACGAGTAATTTGATATGCAATTTGATAAGGTTCACTGTGTTGGTGAATTTGACCACCAGTCAAAAGTGCGTTGACCTTTCAACGTTTTTGACCATAGCGCCCTCATTTAAGGTCGGAGGTATAGCAAACTATATATTTTTGGAATCCTCAAGACCAGACGAGTAATTTTATATGCATATTGACACGATTGGAACTATTTTAATTTCTATCCCTGTGTGACCTTTGTTGACCCCTCACGAAAATGCCTGGGATTTTCAAGGGGGCAGCCCAAGTCAAAATTGTTTGGTATTCATTAGGGAACACAAAAACACTTTCAAATCTTTGTTCCCAGAGATTGGTCACGGGACCTACAGGCTGGTCTCCTACTAAATAGAAAAGGGGAACTCATTTTCCAGATTTTTTTTCCTGATTTCTAGGATGGCTGGGCACCATGAGTAATACTTACGGTTGAGAGCTTGGTGTAAGCATATTTCCATACTTTCTCAAGATCATCTAACCTGGAGAATACTTCCTTCTTTCTCGTAAATAGAGCCGCACTGCAGAAAGAACATAATGATAATAATAATAAATCACATTTATAACGCGCCTAATACATTGTTTCTAGGCGCAGTGGTGCTGTTGTCCCACCAGCCATTAAGTGAAGCAATATCCTTACACGAAATAAAGCCGGGACGACAGCACCACAAGTACACAATATTATTCAGTACACAATTATACAGTATGCAATGTTACATTACAAAATCAAAATTACAGTTTGTTTATACAAATAAATGAATAAATCAGCTTAATCTAACTTAAATCTAACTTAAATCTAACTTAAATTCTGCTAAACATGACTTATTTCATAACAAATAGAAGTACAACATCATTTATTTATTTGACATGTTTAGAGAAGAAAAAATTCATGGTATGTTTTTGAACAGATTGGTTTTTAACATTACTTTGAAAGTGGAAGTTGAAGGAGCATTTTGAATGTAGGACGGGAGGCTATTCCACAACTGGGGGGCAGCTACAGAAAGCGCTCTATCCCCGTATCTCGTTTTCACACGAGGGCCAGGAATTAGTTGAAGGTGAGAGGAAGTAGAAGCACGCAACCTGGAGGAGGGGGGGGGGGGGGTTTGGATTTTACAAGACTGGAAAGGTACGTGGGGCATTCACCGTTACGGATTTTAAAGGCAAGGAGAAGAATTTTAAATTGGATACGTTGAATTACTGGGTTAAAGGGTTAGATATACTTTTGTTGATTACAATTCTCTGTTCTCTATGTTCAAGGTATGGTGTAAACCATTTTGAGGCTGTGCCACCAATCCCGAACGTGTGGCAGAAGCGTTCAACCATAGAATGATGATTGATAGTGTCAAACGCTGCTGAATAGTCTAACATTACTAAGGCTACTTCTTGACCCTTATCAACTGCCAATAGTAAAGCATTGTACACTTTGAGCAGTGCAGTCTCTGTAGAGTGAAACTGCCGGTAAGCTGATTGCATGTCAGAAAATAAACAATTATCATTAAGATACGCTTTCAGTTGATTAGCTACAATACGTTCCATGACTTTAGCAACAAACATAAGATTAGCTATAGGGCGATAATTCGATTAAATCATTACGATCTAAATGGGGCTTTTTCAACACCGGTGTTACATAAGAAGTTTTAAACGCACTTGGGACAATACCAGTACATAATGACTGATTGATAAGCTTGGTAATAAACGGAACCACTTCATCAATAGAATCCTTGAGGAGGGTTGTTGGTATAGGATCAAGCCTACATGACTTGGAAGGACTCTCCTTGATAGTTCTTTGTACAGTTGCCTCGGATACTACATCAAATCCATTGAAGGAGTAGTTGCAGGGAGACGAGCTGTCAGCAAGATTGCCATCACCACCTAAGGAAGAGACGATGCCTTGAACTTTCTGGTGGAAGAACTGTCCAAAGTCATTAGCTAGCTGCATATCAGATGAATGGTCAGGAAGGATATTTTCAGACGCAGGTGTAGTAAGTTTTTTCAAAAATCTAAAAAGCTGTTTAGTATCACACTGTTCTATGGTTGATGTTAAGTAGTGTGAATTAGATATGGTATCAGAAGTTGGTTGTAAGAGCAGCACTGATCCCGATAAAGCTGACTATGTATTTCAAGACGAGACTTCTTCCATTTACGCTCAGCTTGACGATGATGCCGTTTCGCCTCTCGAACTTCATCATTGAACCAAGGGGCACACGGTCGAAGAGAAACTGGGATTGTGCGCTCTGGTGCGTGTTTGTCCAAAAGTTCACACATTAAATTACAAAATTTGTCTGCGAGCAGTGATGGATCCTCAGAGCAATATTGTTGGAGGCTGGAATTCATAATGTCACTCCTGAAATCATCACGATTTATCTCACAAAGCTTTCGGCCCCTGATGAATTTCTTTTGAGCCTGGGGGTGCTGAAATTTTAGTACTATTAAAATAGCTTTGTGATCTGATGGGAGTCCAGACTTCAAATCAACGTTAGTAACCAAGTTACTAGTTTTATCAGATAAAACGATATCCAAGATATGACCAGCTTCATGTGTGGGAGATGTGACATGCTGTTCCAAGCCAGCATCTTCAAGCATTTCAAGGAAGACCTTGGATTCTCTGTTGTGGACATCATCAACATGGATATTAAAGTCACCCACCAGAATAGTACTGCATTCAGATGATGCAGTAGACTCAATTAGGGTAGAAAACTCTTGCATGAATGTATCAAACTTCAGGCCATTCTTTTGAGATGGAGGAGGTCGATAGACTGCACACAGTACAAAAATATCCCTGGGTGTTACTCGCACAGACAAGTACATAAGTTCAAAAGATGAAAAGCTTGAATGGTCCACATTCTGTCTGGCTATGCATGATCTATGTATGATGCAAATTCCACCACCACGAGATGAGCGATTGTGGTGATCGAACTACCAAATAATTGGGAAGAGTCATGTTTAAATCGGCAATAATGTAATGATCACGAGCGTCTCCTCGTAACCATGATTCAGTCACGATCATAACGTCAATGCCGTTATCCAAAATAAAATCACATATTGGGGTAGTTTTATTGTTCATGGAACGAGCGTTCCAATGGCTGACGCATATGGGAGTAGATTTTCCGCCTGCCTTCACTGGACGTGCGATCCTTAATCTTTTTAATCTTGGAACACTGATCAGGTTACTCTGATGACGAGTTCCCTGTTTCAGAGCATTGTTCAAAGAAGGTCGGTTACATGTTGTAATACGTACTGGGATAGGTCTCTGCTTTCTCCTTCCCATCCTTTTCCTCTGTGGCTCTTCCATTTTCTCCTCTCATTTCTTCTCTCAATACCAAGACAGCAAATGTTCTCTCTTACCTCTCTCTGAAGTTCGGTTCTCGGTTGTCCAGGTATATGAAGCTGTAGAAGTTCATACCTGCTGTATTTTCGCGGGTTGTTTGGAGGTGTTGTAATATGGAATGTTGAGGTAATTATGCCATAATGTATTATAGTGTATTGGTGCATTAGTGTATAAGGAATTGTAGGTGGAGCAGTCTACAATGTAAGCAACCCCCCCCCCCCTTCCTCATCAGACAATAGCCTTACTTTCCCGCCTTTTTGGGGGTACCTGTATTGCCCAATGTACTGATACCCTATAGGCATGATTGGGGATCCTATTGTAAGTTTTAGTGGATGAGTGATTTTCTTTTGTTCGGGGTCTGTGCACCCAGAGCTGCTATAGCAGGGACAGAGAGACATTGTAGATTGGAGAGAGAGGAGAGAAGCACTAATTTGTGCCTGCTAATGGAGATTGTTATTTACTTCTGGCAGATCACAATTCATGTAAGTTGATTTATACTGTTGGAACTGATGATTATTATATATATTTCATATTATTAATGGATGTCACATTTTATGAATTGCTGAAGATAAGATAGTGAAAGTTGAGGATTGTTGAACCATGAATTGTTTGTTATTACATTTTGCTCCAGAGGCTATATGCTAATTATATTTCGTTCAAATTTTGTTCTTGTACAGGGGCTGTGTTTTCTTTGGTGAATAAATGCAAGACTAAAGTTTACGTTGGACTCCCTAGCTGTTGTCATTTCTGAATCTCAACAATGGTGTCAGAAGTGGGATGACTGACGGCGAGGGACAACTGGACTGAGATCATCTGCACGGATACTGACCAACCTCCAACTTCTTGCGGCCGTGACGTCGTCGGCTGGCGATATTTGGTGTCAGCAACGTCCGGAGGCAAAAGTGAACATGGGACAGACAGTGAACATTCAACAGCCTCGGTCAGATACATTGTGACCATTAATGAATTTGAAGAACATGTTCATGTAATGATACACATGATTGATGATTTGTTCGTTTAAGTTTGCTTGTTGTGAAATATTATTGTTCCTGTTGAATTTCATAATTAACACATTTAAGTGCAGGAAAATGGCCCCTACATCTACGACAACAACTGTGACAACAACAACAACTACCACGTCGACAGCATCATCCACACGACCTACTATGACACCAAGGGAGCAACCTTCAGACATGGACATGCTGTCACAGTTCTTTCGTCGTTCCATTGGGCTACAGAGCATTCTCCAGAGCAACTTGCCCAAGTTTAGGGGAATACCACAACACGCAAACGACATTGCACTATCGGAATGGCTTGAGGAGTTCTATGAGATCACTGCTCAACACAACATGGAAATGGGCAGTAAGGCCAGACTTCTTGTAGATCACCTTGCAGGACCGGCAAGGGAGGAAATTATGTGCCTTAGTGAATCCCGAAGACGTGATTTTGATGAAGTTGTAGCATGTCTTAAACTATGTTTTGGCTACGAGGAAAATACACAGTCGTTGAGCAGCAAGTTCCATAACCGCGTACAGAGAGAAGGGGAATCGCTTTGTGACTTCAGCCGGGCCTTGATACGCCTATACATAAAGCTGGAGAAGGCAGCAATCACCCAAGCCCAAGGTGAAGCTTTGGCACAATTAAAAGACAAAGCTTTGAGTGACCAATTTGTAAATGGCGCACGTGAGGCTTGGGTCAGGAGGGAGTTGAGACGCATCCAATTAACTCATGGGCCCAGTGGGTTCAATAGGATGAGAGCAGAGGCACTCCAGCTTTTCCAGGAGTCTCCAACAGCTCAGCGTACCAGAATCAGAGAAGTGGAGTCAGGAGTCGGGTACCAGGAACCAGGATAACTTCAATTTGCTTGCAACACGTTATCAGGCTCCATCCCCGCCACATGCCACCCAACGTCACCTTCCTCACCAGGATGTCACCCCGCAGGCGGAAAACTAGCTTCCTCTGCTGTTGAGGGCAAAACAGCAGGGGACAATGAACAACAGGACAAGACAGAAGAGCCCATGGGACAAAGCTCCCATAAGCTACAAGCCGACACGCCTATAACAGACAAGAGGGAGATTGACACAGAAACGAGATTTGCACATTCCAGACAGACCACTTTGGAAGAAGCTGCGCTGACAATAGATGAAATAATGTGCGACAGCGAAACAGAATTGGTTTCAGAAAGTCCGACCGCAATAGCAGAAATTGCCGGCGTGAAAATTGGTTGCGTCTTAGACACTGGAGCAGAGGCTTCGATAATACCCTCAGACGTATTTCACTCGCAGCTTCAGAAAGCAGCAGGAGATGTCAGCCCATTGAAAAAACTGGTAAAAATTGTTGGGGTGGGTCCAACAAAGGTTCCTGTAGAAGGCTTTATCCGCACTCGAGTTTTGCTGAACGGCAAAGAAGCTTCCGTCGGGTTCCTTATCGTGAACCGAGAGTCTTGTGGAGCTAGACAAAAAGACTTCCCAATTTTATTGGGATGTAATGCACTACGAGCTTTTTTTCCACCAGAGGAAACTCAAGAAGAATTCCAGTTAGTAAAGGACTGCTTGAAATTTAAAGGAGTGGACAATGCACAAATACGAGAGGTTGTCACGGGTGCCTTGGAGGTAGTGTTGCCAGCCAGGACCATACAACATGTAGAATGTGCGATGAAGTCCTCTCAAGGTGGTGAAGCTGCCAATGAGTCAAGTGTCTGGTTCATCCAGGATCTGACTAAGCTGGAGAGTTCTCAAGTTCATGTGATTGAAGGTTGTGCTACCGGGAATAGAGAGTTACGTTTACTCCTTATTAATGCTGGAGAAAATGAGTTCATCCTACCACCTCACTCAATTGTGGCATCTGCTGTGCAAGTAGAAGAACGAAGTGAAGTTCATCTTCAAAACAGAGAGGACCAACTTGAGGTGGATGTTTGTAATGTAATGATTGCCACAACAGAATCGGTTCAAGATGACAACGACAATGTTGGCCAGTTCGAACACAGAGGAGAAACCCAACCAACAAATGATATCACTACACAGGAAACGTTTACCTTCACTGATGGAACAGAAGTATTGCTTCCTCATGGCCTCAGCTTATGTGGGATGGACTATCATGAGGCATCTAGGATTGCTAAACTTCTAGCAGATCATGAAGCAGCTTTTTCCAGAGATGAGTTTGATTTGGGACAGTGTGATCTTATCCCTCATGAGATAAAGGTGACCTCTGACAAGACAATACGCCTGCCATATCGAAGAATTAACCCCAACGAGACATCAGAAGTTCGTGAACTTCTGCAAGACATGCTTGAACGAAAGATCATCAGGGGGTCTGCTAGCCCATATGCAAGCCCAGTCGTTTTAGTTAGAAAACGATCAGGAGCCCTACGCCTATGTATCGACTACCGACAATTGAACAAGATTACAGTGAAAGACTCTTTCCCGTTACCCAGAATTGATGAATCCCTGGAAGTCATGGATGGGGCTAGATACTTCTCTTCTCTGGATCTGTCTCATGGGTACTTTCAAATCACCATGCATCCTGACTCTGTGCCCTTGACCGCTTTTCGTGTTCCATGGGGACTCTTCGAATTTGAGAGAATGCCGCAAGGTCTTTGCAACAGTCCAAGCACCTTCCAGAGGGTGATGGAGGTGATCTTCAGTGATATGAACTTCACAAAACTAATTCTGTACCTCGATGATGTGTTGGTATTTTCTAGAACTTTTGAGGAACATTTGGAAAGACTTGGAGAAGTTTTTGCCCGGTTGACGAAGCATGGTCTAAAGTTGAAAGGAGAGAAATGTCACTTGTTCAGGGGAGAAGTTGCCCACTTAGGACACATCGTCAGCGAGAAGGGCGTGATGGTCGATCCAAGCA